GGTCCACAAGGAGGTCTTATTCGAGAAACTTTCCCTGATGGGGCCAAGACAGATATCAGCTATTTTGAATTGAGAATTTTGTGCATGCTGCCATGTTGTATCTTGTTTTACTGTGGAGTTGTTGCCACTATCTGTAAGATCCCTTTTGGACTAGCTAGTACTAACAAAGGAGTTCTTGTTTGATGGTCTTAATGGCAACAGAATGATTTCATTCAATCCAAAATGGTAGTTGAGACTAAAATCCAATCCAATCCTAAAAGCCACACCCTGCCTAGGGGCACATCCCTGTTCAACCCTAATGTAGGAGTCCACTAGAGAGAGTGACACCGGTATAGAGGAGAAAAAAAAATAGACAAAAAGCTTTTATTACTAACAGATGAAATTAATGTCTTTCAGTGTTGAAACGTCACAACATTTAAACTGTGAAATCTTTTAAAACTTCCTAAGGTGTTTCACTGTGTCCATTTCGAGTGTCCAGCCAATCATAAAGAACCTATTAACTGCAGCAGCGACTTGACGGACACCTCGGAGCAGAGTGCCGCATCTGATTCCACCATTAGCTCCATCATGTGACCACTGATGGCAGTCATTCTGTGATTTATCAAATAGGCCTACATCAAACAGCAACTCATCCAAACATGCTGTATATTTTACATAATAACTATTAGACTGAAAGGAATGGCACCTCAAATTTAAACAGTGGAAAAATTAATTTTAGCTTGATTTTCATGTTGATTCCTGTCCCACACTTAAACTCAGCAACAAACAGTGATTTATTTCGTTACCAGAAGGGCCGGCTGCAAATCCAGATGACAACTAGTTTCTTATCAATCCATTGGTTTGGTGACAGAGGTGCTTGGAACAAGCCAAAGTAAAAATCTTCTGAAAATGGTTCAGTAAGGCCAGGTTCAGAATTGTTGTGAGCCACCAAACTGACTACCTTGTGCAGAGTACATGAAAAGTTTGGTAATTGAATTGACAAGTTGGAACATCCCAGCAGTTCTGACTCCTCGCTATGGGGTTATGGTGCGGTAATTCTTTCCTGTTTCTCAATCAAAAGGAGTAACCTGTTTTAAATTTGGTTCCGTACAAATTTGAGTTAGTAGGGACTTTAAGCAGTCAGGACGGCAACGCCACGGAAGACGTCGATTAAAAAAAATGAGTTTCTACTTTTAGTTAGAATTTCGAAAATGGCTACATGTGTTTACCGTCTCATAGGGCGCCAGAACTCAAACTTAACATAACGCAAAAAAGTAGCGTGGAGTTCCAAATGTAAATTAAAATAATTTGCCGCCGCGGTTTCGCTTCGCAGACGACGCAAATTTTGGTGATTTCACGTTGTTGTTTTGCAAAGAGCGGCTACGAAATGTACAAAGTTTTAATACCCACGTGCTGGGCTATTGTTCTGCCAATTAGATCTATTGTTTTTCCATGTTCTCGTTGCCGTCGGGGTTTGCTTAAAGTCCCTAGTTTGGCATGTGAAGCTCTGAAACGCCCATTGGGCTTAATGCGTGTTAATTTTTGTTAATATGATTCTTTAATTTGCAATTTGAGCACAACAAGTTTAATGGAATTGTGATGTACGTACAGAACTTGGAGGAAAGAGTATTCTAGCTGTTAATCTTAGTATTGTGCCTTCCAGCGGCAGGTGGAGTAGGGCCAAGCAAGGCTTTGTTTCAGGCTCTCCTTCTTTAGTTACTGTTTTTTTTTATTTTTAATTTTTTTAAAATTTTTTTTTGTATTTTATTTTTTTTTAGTTTTTATTTGTTTTTTAGACTAGTTTGTACATAGTCATGTATAAAGAGTTCTTCACATTTATGGTTTTATTATAATTTCAATTTGTATTTGGAATTTATTTATTCCTGGTTCTTAGTAATTGTAACGCAATTCAGTCTACGGACTGCCATGTTCGATATTCTAATAAATTATCTATCTATCTAAACTATCTATCTATTTACTCTCAACGAACTCTAACTTAATTTTGGCTGAATCTTAACTAGAAAAACAAAACTTACATTATCCACAAAGATGTAAAGTGAATATCAAATATCTTTCGTTTGTTTAAACAATAGGAAAAGAATTAGTTGCTAAGTAAATACACGACAGGGAATAAGCCGACAAGAGACAAGATTGGGACCTACGAAGTGAGGCACGTGAACGGCGCTGACACGGTTTTAACGCTTGTTGTTCATATTTCGATTGAACTATCATTCCTTATTTAATGTTACCTCCAAACGCGTTCCAATAGGACAAAACTTAATAGAATAGAAAACGCACCTAAGAAAAGTCTGCAAGCAGTTGGGGATGGACACAACTGGAAGAGAAAAGGAACTACTGATTCCACCTGCAAGCCTTTCTCCTTGAGATTTCAGGGAATGGAGAACCACACATGGCAGCTCACACCTCCACAGCATATTTGCTAATGTTAAGCAATTTTTACATGCAGGTGTGAAGACGATAATTGATTTGTTTCCTCCATTGCCAAATGGCAAACTTTTCTTGTGGTAACACTAATTTTAGGAACAGGGTTTTTTTTTGTATCCTCTCTCGTTTGAAAAAGCGAGGGAAAGGGGGGTAACTTACTTGACATTTTGGCAAGTAGAGGGGGTGGGTGGGCGCTTATTCGGGGAAATACAGCAAGTAAACGTTGCCAACAGAGTATACACTGAGTGTTTCATTTGTCCCCAATCCCCTTTCCTCTATCATCCAAATGCAGTTTCACTTGAGTCCGTTGGTGCTCTAAACATGACTTGCATGTATCTAAGTTGGTTAAATGAGGTGTTTGGAACAAGCTAAAGTCAAAATCTTTTGAAAATAGTTGAGTAAGGCCTGGAGTGGACTTTTTGCGAGCCACCAAATTGACTACGTTGAGCAAGAGTACATAAAAAGTTTGGTAAAGAGCCCAACTGTCCTGACTTACGGCCTGTCTAAGCAGAGAACTTTCATTCTGGAACGGCTTTGATTCAGATGACAAACTTTCACTTGATTAAAGATTATGGTGCATTAATTGTTTTCAACCCTTTTAGTGTCAGGAGCTTATCACCAACTCCCCCACCCCACCCCCAGCTGCTACACATTTCCTTGTAAGTAAGGGGGCGACCATTTAACTCTTGAGGGGCCCGTGGTGGGTAATCTTGAAAAAAAATTTCCTGCAAGCGCTTGTTGGAAGAAAAAATTGTATACAGCCCAAATGTAACAGAAAAAAGAGAGCATTTAGAACGGAAAAAATATCCTGCCCACCAGATTACTAGAAAAAAAATTTCTTGATGACCAGAAATCACCCACCCCCGCCTCCCCTGTCAAAAGTTAAATGGTTGGCCCCTAAGTTACGAGAATTTGGTGCTAGATCAAGATAACAACTTTTAGCTGATAGTTTTGAGTATTATCATTTCCTGTTTTTGGGATGAGGTATGGATGTTTTAGGGAGAATTTACTTGTTAATTACTGCTGGGAGTTCAAGGGTTAAGTAGTTTCCTTGAAGCTTTTATTGATATTGGTTATGGTTTTGTAATTCTGTCTTGCATCTCATTCAAAAGGTGTTCCATTTGGAATTTGTTTCTGTATAAATTTGAGTTATCAACAAGTTTGGCAAGTGAAGTTCGGAATCGCCGGCAGGGCCAAATTAACAATTATTCCATGAGCGTGCGTCGAATATGAGATGATAAATATCCAACGAGGTGCTTAGCGTCGTGTTGGCTACAACCAATCTCGTATCCAAGAAGCGCGAAAGGAATAACTGTTTTAGTGAATTAAATTACCCATAATTTACTGGAGAGGTGACTGTTACGTTTCAAGCCGAAAGTAAATCCATCTTAGTAACATTTGGGTAAATCATTTCCGCATAGAGAGATTCGGTATATGAGCTGATTACCGGAGCTGAGTGAACAATCAGAACACTAGAGATGCAATATCCGCAGTTTAAAATATAACAATGCACATTAATCTTTGTTAATTTGATGCTTTAATTTGCACTTCAAGTACAGAAGTCTATGAAATTCTGGTTTACCAACAGAACTTTGAGGAGATTATGTTGTATGTGATGATTCCAACATTTTTAATGTCAACTCTCATGTAGTCAAATTTCTACTTTCTGCACTGGATTGTAGACTGTTGTGTGTAGTTAAAATCTTACACAACGAATATATGAAATTCATATATCTGAACTGCGGTTATAGAAACGTATTTGTGCTCGATCCTCGCAGTAAAGAGCACTATTTAAGCAATAGTGAAAATCAGACCTGAAAAAATTCAGGCCTGTACTGGATTCGAACCACTGACTGTAGTATGGCATCCCTGTGTATCATGTGTACGTATGTCACGTGACTAGCACATGGAGAGAGATCCGCCATCTCGATTAAAAAAGACCTGTCGTTCTGTTGACGTTTGTATTTGTCTCGTCCTGCTTCTTCCTATAATATTACACTGACCTCTGCGATACTAGTGCAGCGCTCTACCAATTGAGCTAACAAGCCAGTTTTTCAGTTCTGATATTCCCTATTGCTTAAATAGTGCTCTTTACTGCGACAATACGTTTCTATAACTGCAGTTCAGATATATGAATTTCATATATTCGTTGTGTTTGATTTATCATCTTACGGGTTTATGTCGGACTAATTTGATAACCTGCTCCCAGTTGGCTTGTTAGCTCAATTGGTAGAGCGCTGCACTAGTATCGCAGAGGTCAGTGGTTCGAATCCCGCACAGGCATGAATTTTTTCAGGTCTGGTTTTCACTATTGCTTAAATAGTGCTCTGTACTGCGAGGATCGTGCACAAATACATTTATATAACCGCAATTCAGATATGAATTTCATATATTCGTTGTGTTTGATAGTCCCTGTAATTGCACAGCTACAGTTCATTCTCAATCTTTGGTAATTAACAAATCGACAGCGGTCTAGAGTGGTTTGTATTCTTGTCGACAACGATATTTGTCATCAGTGGTCAAAAATGTTGTTGTCCGCAACAAATAGATCTATTTTTTACCACAACATCGACGTCAGATATAACGATTCTTTTAGTCCGTGACATGTTGCGTGACACGTCAACCTGAGTAACGTTGTGCGTACTCTTATCGACAAGGGCAGATTGGCCAATGAGATTGCGACATTACTGCCAATTGTGGTAAAATTGTTTGCTTATCCTTGCAGTTCAAGTAGAGAAGTCATCGAGTGGTTTCCATATCGATCTTGATGATTTTCTCGCTGGTCTTCTTCTCCTTGCTAATGAGTTGGTAAGTCTAATTATTTTTGCAAAATTATATTGGACTCCATTTTATAGCGCATCTTAAGGAGCTACGGGGGATTTTCCGGACGAAGCCTAGGAAAATTGTCTGCTTATACATTTACCACGTCAAAAAAGGCATAAGCCGGATTCTGTTCCTCGCAGAATTAGTGTTCCAGCCATCCTAGGGGATGGATAGGACGATTGGGGCGTCGTCACTTGCATATAGAGTTTGACTGCAATAATGTGGAAAATAGATATATCATAACACTCGTAATTTCCATTTCTTTTAAGAAAAAAGGAATGGGACTATGATGATCTCCACAATAGCTTTTTAACTCTTTACGTTGACCAATTTCAAATTTCAACTTACTTGATATAACCAATTACCTTGTTACCCCCACCGACGCAGCACCACAGTTTCTTTAGAAACTTTCACCCTTTGATCTCCACAATAGACAGATTTCGAAAAATACAATGGCAATCTTATAGAAAGTCAACTTAATTTTTCTGTATAATCTTCAGAGGAAAGAATCTGTCAGGGTTCATTTTCGTGATTTTCATGTACTCATAGTAGTGTGGTCTCTTTCTGTAGCGTACTTGTTTTATACGGTATTTTTTCACACATCATGTAAAGTTGATAAACTTATGGAGGCCACTATAATTTTCGAAACTGTTTCAGATACATTTGAAATGTGTATTTGGTTCATCTTTCCTCTATCTCACTGATTTTGTTACGTTCCAGTCGCGGTTTGCGGTGAATAGTGTCACATCAGCAGATTATGGGCGGCCTTTTAAAATAGCCGCATTTGTGGCTGAACTGGACGCTGGCTTCAGACTTTTGAACCTTAAAAATGACTCTCTTAGAAAGAAGTTTGATGGACTCAAATATGACCTGAAGAAAATCGAGGAAGTTGTGTATGATCTGACCATCAGGGGGCTGAAACCGTCTACAGAGGAAGCAAGTTGAATTAGTAACATGGAGGCGGGTCGTCAAGAAATTTCCGACATCCTGGGATATTTTTAGGAGTCACCGGGCGAAATTCAATTTTGTTGACGTTGGTGGAGAGTTTTGATCTCAGTCTCAGTCTGTTTTGCACGATATTTATCGCATAAGAAGAATCAACTGAAAAAGGTGAACGCTGCGATCGGCGTTTGGTTATTTGGAAATGATTCGCAACGGAGTGAAATTTGTCGAAGTAAAGAAGACCGACTTTGATATTGTGTTGAATGAAACTCAAACTGATCCTGAAAACAAAGTGTGCATCAGCTATTAAATAAGTGTTTTCAGTTATTCTCTCTTTTCAATCCCACAATTTGTGGTTTGTGGTTTCAAATTTGTTGAGAAATTTCTCCGTTTCTGTGCACGTAATTACTCGGTATTTAAGAGGAACAGTGACACCGATATTGTATAGTGGAGATAAGGATAAGTTGATTTAAATACAATATAAACACAAAACTCCACTGTAGATCATATTTCACGACTTTTAAGTGTCACGAGCTTGTTGGAGCAACTGCTGTGGTAACGAGCACTTAGCTAGCGATATTTAGTTTTTCAGGCGTGACCTGTGACAACCTACTCGCGATCCGGAACAGTTTGATTCTACCTAGCTACTTAAGTACGACATTTGCCTGATGGGCTTATTTCCGCATATTCCCCCCCCCGCCCTCAAATCGTTAGTGATGTCAAAAACTTTGTTTTAGACACAGCATAAACATCCAGAACTAAGTTGAATTGCAATATCACAGTGATTGGTGCAAAAGCTCACGGTAGCACTAATTGATGCGGAAATTTTCTAGCGATTTTCTCTCACGACTTCTCTTGTGATCAAATTTGCAAATGAAATCCGCTGGCGATCCTTCGATTGAGATCAGAACTCAGTCCTAATAAATTCTTCAGTGGTGGAATATAGAAGGAAATTGTTTTTTTTTTGTTTTTGTTTAAGGTGTAAAGTAAAATCAAACCACAGCGAGATTTTAGTTTCTATTTCAAGTGAGTTTCAACTTTGCTAGCCATTAGGTGATTAATTTTGGCTTGATGGACCTGATTTTCGGTCCGGCTAAACTTAATGGTATACGCCTGGACTTCTATCAAGGGATTTTATTTCTGCTTGCAATTGTAGACAGTAACTAGTGGCAGCTGTGCCTGTTGTGTGACGGCCAGTAATGTCACCTTAATGAATGGTGAGGGCAACAAGCACGTGACAGGAAACGAGTGGGAAATGACACCACGGGGTTTATGTCGGACTAATTTGATAACCTGCTCCCAGTTGGCTTGTTAGCTCAATTGGTAGAGCGCTGCACTAGTATCGCAGAGGTCAGTGGTTCGAATCCCGTATACTGAGGCCTGAATTTTTTCAGGTCTGATTGTCACTATTGCTTAAATAGTGCTCTTTATTGCGAGGATCGTGCACAAATAAGTTATAATCTTGTTATTTGTGGCATTTAATTGTATTTCATTGTCGCAAGGCTTCTAGATAAAGTCAGAAAGTTTTCTTTCCTACCACAAATAGTTGGTGCGACAAAAACAGGGTTTCATGCTTAGGAAGGCTCATTGAGTAAGCTTGGGCGACCTGTGGCCTTTAAGGATGGGTTGTCAATAATGTTTCGCTACCTGCATGTAGTGACAGTTGCTGTGGTAATGCTGATTTAAACGCCGCGTATGGTATTCCCATGAGAGACTCGTCCTGGCAGCTCGAACTGATTGCAGTTCAGTTCCATCATTTCTCTATCTTGTCCAGCTTCCGGTCTCCCCGTACTCCGTCTTGATCTGCTACACAGATTCCTCGCCATTTCTTCGGCTTCTGGGAAACCTTTTTTCGACAGCAATTCAATGAACGCCACTAGAAAATTTCTGTTTCGAGATGTGTATATAATCGGGTTGAAGGTAGAATTCAATTTAATTAACCCCAACACAAAATGACGAATTGTAGTTTTTTCACTGTCCAAAAACTTTTCTCCGTATAGAGACCATGTGACGAACATAAGACCACTCGGGAGAATGGAAACTAACAAAGTCGTCACTATTATCAAAGTGGTTGACTTTAAGGCCTTCTTTTCTTTTTTAAATCTGGCTTTGGCCTCTTGAGTAACATGAAGGGAAAGAATTCGCTTTTCATGGCATCTAGCTTCCTTATAAACGAGCACCTGAAGGAAGATAATTGAACTCAACAATGTGAAGTTTAAAATTACGATTGGAATCACCATCACTATGAAGAGAAAAAAGGAAACAAAAATGCCTAAGATCCAGGCACTGGCCGCTAAAACTGTAACACGCCGTTTAGTGAGCATTTCGTTGTGTGCGAAAGAGTATTTGATTGTGAAGTATCGTTCTCCACTGATCAAAATTGAGTGGCCTAATGCAGCGTGCCAAATTACGATATAGACGATGGTAAAAACCAAATTTACTTCACAAAATTCGTGGAATCTTTTTCGTTGCAACATAAAAATTGTCATAGCTCCATGCAGAGGTTGAACAACCAACCCAGCCATTAGATCAGTAAGTGCTAAAGATGCCAACAAAATGTTAGAGTAAGTTTGAAGACGTCGTTTGGTTTTTACAGCCAAAATAACCATCACGTTCAAAAGGCAGGTACAAGGACAGGCGACAAAGCTGACAACAGCGGATGTGATGAGAAAACCATAAGTTAGATAGGAAAAATGATATTGCAGACGTTCATGATGAAATACATGATAACAACTGTTTTGAAGGCCAACCGAAGAGGACTCATTCATTTTCGCCACACAGCACAATGTGTTTTTGGACTACTGACTTCGCCAAACGAGAATACTTGCAGTTAAATATCACAGTGATGTTGTGCTACGTTTAGAATTGAGAGGATAAATAGAAAGGACGCAAAGGCAAATACTCCTTTTTCAGTACACACCGAAAGATGCCAAAGAAACAAACTTCATTGTGTTAGTGAATAAATTTCGCACACGAAACACATAGAACTCGGCGGAATTTGTTATTCCCTCAGTGTAGATACCGAAACAAATGCAGTCGAGGAGGTAAGTTGGGCGGAAAGTAATTAGCCGGTAATTGTTTTAATGTAACAGCAGTCTTATGTGACCGACAATTTGTGTCTCTGTTCAAAAGAATAATAAATAAAAAATGTTTAATTTGACAATTTACTATCGGTTCGACTCTCATTGGCCAGAAATCGGTATCGTTACTCCTATAGCGCTAAGTGATGTATGGGTCAATTTTTCCAGCGGGTTTTAAACTCTTAATGCATCTGTAATTGGTACTTGAATTCCTCTAATAAACCAAGCTTGAGTAGAAATAAGTGCTACACCCCTGATTACTCACTATTGATTTAAAATCTAATCCAGCTGAAAGCCACAACCATTGAATGTTTCACTTCCCAACGCTTATTCTCTTGTGAAAGTAAATAAGTGGTTGATTGGAGGGGGGATCAGTCGTCGCCAACAGAGTACAAAGGGGGAACCAAAGAAAAATGAGTATTTTATTTGTCCCCAATCCCCTCTCCTCTGCTTTCCAGGTGCCTGAGTTATTGCCTGTCTAAGCAGAGAACTTTAATTCTGGAATGGCTTTGTTTCAGATAACAAACTTTCACTTGTGGCAAATCAAATCTAAATGCTGCATTAATTGAGAATTTGGTGATAGATCAAGAAAACAACTTTTATCTGATAGGTTTGAGTATTCTCATTTCCTGTTTTTGGGATAAGGTATGGATAATTTTGGGAGAATTTACTTGTTAATCACTGCTGCGAATTAAAGGGTTTAATATATTAAAGTGTCCCTGAAGCTTTTATTGATATTGGCTATGGTTTAGTAATTCTGCCCTAAATCTCATTAGGTGTATCATTTGGAATTTGTTTCTGTAAAAATTTGAGTTATCAACTACAATTACGATAAAGGAGATGCTAAAAGCCATATTTACTTCGCAAAAGTCGTGGAAAATTTTTTCCTTGCAACATAAAAATTGTCATAGCTCCATGCAGAGGTTGAACAACCAACCCACCCATTAGATCAGTAAGCGCTTAAGATGCCGCAACAAAATGTTGGAGTAAGTTTGAAGACGCCGTTTCGTTTTCACGGCCAAAATGACCATTACGTCTAAGAAACAGGTACACAGGCAGGCGACGAAGCTGACACCACTCCTGTGATGGGAAAACCATAAGTTAGATCGGTAAAATGATACTAGCTCTGCAGACGAACATGAAAAAATAAATGATCACGACTGTTTTCAGGGCTAACCGAAGAAGACTCATAGTGTTTTTCCGACTACTGATCTCGCCAAACGAGAATACTTGCAATTAAATATCACAGTGAATCTGTGTTACTTTTGAAACTGAAAGGAAAAATAGAAAGGACGCAAATGCAAATACTCCTCTTTCAGGTACACTTCAAAAAGATCCCATAAAATTAAAGTGTGATCTGTCGGTGAATGCGCATAGAACTCGGCAGACTGAATTGTTATACTCTGTTGTTGATGCTGACACAAATACTTTCAAGGACTTACGTTCAGCGGAAAGTAATTAGCTGGGAATGTTTTAAATGCAACAGCAGTCTTTTGTTTCCCACAATTTGTGTCGCTGTTTTTTAGAAGAATAATCGATCAAAATGTTTAATTGATAATATACTGTCGGGACCAGTGAATATTGAGCCGACAATAAATTATCTGAGAAATCGGTATTGTCTCTCTAAAGAGGCCAAGGAATGCGTGGCCAACTTTCCAGTGGACTTTAAACTCTTAATGCTTCCGTGAATGGTACTTGTAACCATTTACAGTAAAAAGATTGAACAGAAATGAGTGATACACAGTTTTCTTACTGATGATTTAATATCTAACCCAGCTGGAGGGCACATCCATTAAATGTTTTTCTTTCTACCGCCGATCCCCTTATGAAAATACTGCATTTCCCTGAATAAGCGCTCAGGTGCTCAGTTAAAATTTCATCTTTATGGGAAGGGGAGGAATGCTTATTTAAAGGGGGGCGCTTATTCGAGGGGTTCGTTTATCACGTTTTCCTTTCAACGAAGTGTAATATTTTTGGCTGAATCTTAAATAGAAAAACAACACCTAAATTATTACTGACGAAGATATAAAGTCAATATTAATATCGATCGTTTGTTTAACAAAGGGGAAAGACTTATTTCCTTACTAAAAATACGACAGCGAATAAGCCAAGAGGATTGACAACAGTGTTACTTTAAACTTATTGGAGTTGTTTTTTCCTATCAGAAATCGTTATAGTAGGTCCACTGTGCTACAGAAACATGGTTTCATTTCTAGCAAGGCTTATTGTACAAGCTTGGGCTACCTGTGGCCTAAACGGATCGGTTGTCAATCATGTTTCTTTGCATGCTCGCACTGACAGTTGTTGCGGTGATGCTGATTTGAACACCATATAAGGTATTCCTAACCGAAAAGGACTTATTCATTTTCGCCACACAGCACAGTGCCGGTGGTTTTGGACAACTGACTTCGCCAAACGAGAATACTTGC